ATATATATATATATATATATATATATATATATATATATATATATATATATATATATATATATATATATATATATATATATATATATATATATATATATATATATATATATGAAAAATTATTTTCAAACAGATAATTTTACCAAACATTTTTTAACAATCAGCCAATTCATCTTGCCGGTCAAACTTGCTGAACTAAACAACCATTCACAACAGCTGACACAAACAGCCAACAGCTGACAGCCAACATCTAAACAAGGCCTAAGTGTCTATGTTTGTCTGTGTACAAATGGAGTACCCCATCTTGGTATATCCCTAGGTTTATTCAAATACTTTTTCTTATTTGGTCATAAAGGAAAAGAAAATAAGTGAAAGGAAGAGAAAATGAAAAAACAAAATGTGTTAAGTGGAGAGAAAATCAAATTCCTCCCATTTTGGTGAGGAAATAAGAGAAAATCATTTTCTTTTATTTTTCCTCCAAATTCCTTGATCCAAACATAAGATTAATTATGATTGGTTGAAACGTACACGTTGCATTATATTACCTACTTCTCATTGTTCATGCTTTTAGGGAGTATTTTTGGGATGGCTATATCCTCACATTTAAAAACATAGATTTTGGAAATTTAAAAACTTCAAATCAAAGATATATTGGGCCAAACAAATTAAATCAAATAAAACTAGATTTTAAAGACCCAGTCCAAAGCACGAGGAGAGAAAGAGAGCACGGTTTAACAGCCCAAGAAGGAATCTCAAGTGGGGCACGCTTAGCTACCCAGCTCGACACGTAGTCTCTGTAAATGCACTCACAAGTCAATTTGATTCCTATAAGTTGGGTTGAGTCAAATCGATCCATGTAACAAAAGAATGTGATTCAAACTTGTCTTTGGAAATTTATGTACTAAAATTCTAAGTGACCACGTTAATTTACACATGGTCATTATTCTTGTGTCGATTAATGTGCTAACTCAGAATTTTAACAAATAAAATATGTTCCAAAGACTAACCTGATTCACATTTTCTAGCTAAAAAGACTAATTTGACTCAACCAAACTTATAAGAAACAAATTGACTCGTAAGTGTAATTACAGGAATCAAAATGAGTATTTACTATTTATTGGTATATCTAGGTAGTCCGTGTTGGACTGCCATCCAACATCATATCTTTGTTTGGTTGAGTTTCATTTACAAGTGCATTATATACACTATCCTCGTGTGTTTGGAAGAGATCCAATCTATTACACCATAAAGATCTAGGATTTTATCACAAAGACTTGAAAATTAGATTTTAAAAGCAGAATCTGCAACCGATCCTTTTAAAGTTACAAGAAAACTTAACAAAATAGAACATTTTGTGGATGCACTGAGATGAAAATATTCAAAATCAGCTTTAAGAATCAAAACTATATATATCAAAGTTCTCCAGAAATAGTTTTATACAGACGAATCACTGGTTTACAATTAATTACTTCATACATAAAAAGATGTGCATATGTGTAATGTGCATGGAGAAACAGTGTGTATGAAACAAAACCTGGGGAAGATTTGAATCAGACTGGTTGATGGTATCAATCATCAATAGTATAGGTGTCATCTGAAGTTTGACATTCCACTGCAGCAGCGTTTCCGGAGTCTCCTTCAACGTTTGGCGCTTGCAGTCCTGTAGACCGTGCAAGGTCTATCCATTGCTGTGGAAGACAGATAGATAGATTGTAAGTATCAGTTGTAAATGTAATTGTAAATCAAGATTCAAGAGCATGACAATGAAGATATTCACGAATTTGACTTTCGTATAACTGAGAAGATTCACATGGCAAACACTAGATATTGTAGAAGGGTGAAGTAACACTGTGTGTATATAAGTAACGTAAGGTTTATTTCTAACCTGGGTACCCCAATATGAGTTGATCGTGCGAACAACAAAAGACAACATATTTACAAGCAATATCTGGTCAGAGAACTGGTCCGAAATCCGGTGCTCCACTAGACCTGCAATAATCTGCAAAGTACAAAATAGAGATTAAATGACACAATAAACACATACTAGCATTTATAATGGATATGATACATTATGGTAAGATTATTTTGTTTAGCATAAAAATAAATGAACTTGTGAAGTAAACAAATTGTAAAATTATGTCTACATCTATTGGTTGCATTTGTTACATTATTAAACACTTTCTAGTAAAGACATCACCTTCAAGGCAACTACATGATGGTGAAATCACTAGTAGGATAACAACCCATTAACGTCCTACACATGGGGACATGGGGTGTGGGAGGGTGTGGGGCTGTTTTCTGAAACCACTAGTAGAATGACGATAGTAATGCAAGTTTGTGTACATGGATCAATAGAATTAAGAGAGCATTTGTATGTTTAAACCACTAGTAGGTTACCTGATACCGTAGATTTGCTGATACTCCAAGAAAGCTCCCATACACGAGAGCGGTTTTCAATACCGGAGACCGCTTAGTTTGTTGGGTCTTGGCAAGAGTTGGATTTATTATTTTACGTATTCCAAACAAGACATTTGAAGAAGTCACTGCACCAATACTTGAAATGAATCCTACACTGGCCAATTTAAGGCCACCAACAATAACTGATGCAACCCTGTGGCTCAATCCCCATTCCTTCCCTGCTACGCTTTTTTGAAATGCATTATCCGGGATGGAACCCAAGAGACCCTTCAATGCTT